GAGAGAGAGAGAGAGAGAGAGAGAGAGAGATTGTTATGTATCATGATTGACACTTCTTTTCAAATTCACTGCGGAATCAATTATTTTATCACGCGTCTCCCTCCGAATATTTATCCGAGTTCGGTACAAACCCACAGACACACACGCACGCACACACATACACATACACACACACACACACACACACACACACACACACACACACACACACACACACACATGCAAACTAATAAAAACACGCATATCACCCTCTACATATATCTACACATTGATCTGATGTTTTTTTGTTTTTTCTCTTGTCGACCGTCTGGTAGGGAGACTTCCGTCATTCACTCCCTTCTTTTCATCGACATTGTCCCTTGCATCCTCATCGTCATTGTGCCCCTCTACATGTACGTCTTGCCCTTCATCTCTTAATGAAATACAATAAATCAAAGTATGTGACGTGGTTGATGCCCCGAGCTTCTTCTTCCCCTCATTTTCAGCGTCAATCAACGCTTTCATCATCTCATCAGAATTTTTTTGCGCCTCACTCGCACATTCTGCATGCCCATCTTATTGCATTCCATCTGCGACTGCCATGTTCGCGGAAGGAGTGAGACTCTCCATCTGCGATTCACTCTTGTTTCCCACCTGAGTTATTAGAGGAGACCCGTACTATCCAATGTTCGATTTATCTTCGTTGACATTCCATGTTCCCTTGTCCACCCCCATCATCTTGACAGCAATTTGGCTCATTGCTTCCCTAACACTGGCAGCAAAGTGCGTCGTCGACTGCTCCCCAAGCTATGAGCATCCCAACCGGATTGTCTTGATGCCTTGGCACGCAGGAGGAAGTTCGATCTTCCAATCGATGGTCTTGTATGACCGGTTTGACGGCAAGTCATAGAATTTGTGTTTATATTTTAGTCCATTATCTGAGCGCAGAGAATCGAACAACAGTTGATCATTCTCCTCAATAGCCGCCTCGTCCACCCCCTTGTTTTCGCACTTGACACGAAAGACGATTTCGCTTCTCGCCACTTTTAGCCACAATTCTTCTGCCAGTCTATGTTTGATTTTTCATCCCGATGATGGATGCAGTGCCATCATCCACTCCCCCTTGAAGACGCACGGCTCGAACACGTCCATATGCCACAAAATGTGATGCCCCCACTTCTTAAATGTCGTTTCTGACACTTTCTCATGAATGAAGTACGGTTGTGCACTGTCCTGCACAATGCAATTGGGGATATCATCACCAGGCATGATCTTCGGGGATGGATCTGTAACAGCCAAGTCATCTTCGTCAGCGCCTGCCAGAATGTCGTGGTCCGCGTTTCCTCCAGATGGAGGCCTTCCCTGCAACCCGCGACGATTGCCATGAATCAATACATTCTGAAGTGCTAGGAGGGGCATCGGTGAATCAGTTTGCTTCTGGTCAATGGAACTCGCCCTGTCCGTCACATCACGCGTAGGACTGCTTGCACCTCCCGAGTTTGTGGGACCTCGTTCTTGATTCTCGTTCTGCACGCTGCATGCAGACACACTTTGCATTCCCTCTCGCGAACGTTTCACTCGCTCTTCAATATCGAGGTCTGAGGTTTCAGTCTCCTCGTCGCTCTCGATCGGACTCCATGCATCTGTTGTCTTGGCGAGGTTACTATAGCCATCGTATGTCCGCATTGTCAGATTAGTCGTGAACTTTAGTTGCTTGCATCGCGCCACAAACATCGCAAACGCACCCACCTGCGCTTTGTGGTAACCACCATATGCTTCTTGTGCCATCGCTTTGCGAACTGTGTAGTCATGCTCGAATGGCGACTTGGGTTGGCCTTGGAACATATACTCCCACATCTTGTTTCTCTTCTTGCCCAGCTTGTGGTACATATCTCTGTCCAGACGATGCGCAGTCTTCTGCCTCTCAACCGTGCAATCGTTTCTCGTGTCCTTCCCAAGAATGTCGATTACCTTCGTCAAGTACGAGATGTCTTTGGACGACGCGTCCCATGCAAAAACATGATAGCCTGCGCGCAAAAGTTCCCACACAAGTCCAGCATGCGGCTTTCCGATAAGTATCACCCCCTGATCCTCATGCTGAAACGAACTACATAACTTCTGCAATCGTGTCGGATGTCGTTCCCACCGCCCATATTCCTCACGTTCGTTTCCTTCATTGCCATTGTGCTTTGCTGTGCACCTCTTGAACTTGTCTTCCTCAAAGTTGAGCTCCACTAGCTCCGCCCCCGACTTAGGGAACTTCGTGACCTTTTTGAGGTCGCCGCCCTTGACATGCAGAACGATCGCCATGGTGTCCTTGTAATCGACTTGCCGGTTCCCGTACTTGTTGACAGTCGTCCCGACCTCGAGATAACGCTTCCAAGTCCCAGGTATCACCTCTACGTCGTCCCAGTTGTAAAGTTGTCGCATGACGATCTTCTGTTGTTTTTGTGGCGCAAAAACAATCAATATCCAATTATTGCCGCACAATTTCGGCATCATTTTGTACAAAGCATCGAAATCGGCCGGCGATCATGCAAGGCACTCCTTCGGGTTCGCGAGATCGAGGATGGCGGCCTTGCAATTCCAGTTCGTGGCTGCAGTCACAATTTCGTCAGCCGGGGACAGCAACTCCTTCGGGTGCGTGTTGACCAGCAGCAATGTCGACCGTCTCCCTTTCTTCTCCCAACACAGATGAAGCGCAGCGTTCTTCAATCGTCGCAACTCAGCTGTCGGCGAGTCCACTTTCCCTATGGCGTGGTGCACGAAGTACTTGAAGTGGAATGGCGCGTCCTTGTATAACTCCTCCGTGGCCTTTAGACCTGGTCCAACTCTTTTAAGGTTTTTTTCTTCTTGCTCTCCACCGAGTCTTTTCGGAACCCTCCGGACATATTCCAAAGGGATCCTATCCCTTTTCTCATCCCATTCGCCTGCCTTTATGCCAAACCTTTGCTTCATTTTATCACAGTCGAAGAAGAACTCCTCCTTCCACTCATTCGCCTCTCTGTTCTCCGATTTGAAAACGATGTAGTTGAACAGACGCATCATATATCTCTCGCTCATTATGATGTCGAGGAGGTTGGTCATGTTCATCTTCCCAGGAGGAACTAGTCTAGTTGTGGCGATGACTTTCTTATTGATCATCAAGCGCAAAGCGATTTCCTTCTCTCGTGTTGTCATATCCCCAAAACATTTGACGTTTGATGCAACGAGATCTTTGAAGGACACCGTTGCATTTGGTCCTCCGTCCTTAGCCGGAATGCAATGGAACACCTCCTTTTTTCCCTGCACCTCTTCAACGAATTGGCCCGGCATGCGCCCCTACTACCTCCCCGACAAGTCCTTTGGGCACTTGTTGTCGTGTAGCGGCAGCTCCCCCGCTTCGAACTTCTCAAAAAAATCCTTCACCAATGGCCATATCCGGTCCCTACATGTGGCGACAAGCATGTATCCCCTCATCCTGTTCGTCCAGTCGTGTTGCCACTTCGGAGCCGACGCCTCAATCCACAAGGATTTGTCACATGACCGCCCCATGCAAATTCTCATGAACTTCCTCCACTCTTCCTAGTGCGTCAAACCGGTGGGATCCGTTTTGGACGAGTTCCCCACAGGTCCGATCCGGTTTTTCGAATCCCAAAAATTTCTGATGTCTTGGCAGGCTTGGTGGAACGACGGCAACATAGCGAGGTAACCTCTCGTGTTGTCGTATGTCGAAACATACATATACCCATTCGTGTGGTGGTCGTCGAAATAAATGATCCGTACACGATCATAATTTCGAAAGCCGAACACGTCCACTGCTGCGGAATCCCTCGCCACTGCTCTTTTCATGGCTTCAGCAGTATGCTGCCCGACAACCGGGTAATAGAAGTACTCGTCTGCCCTATCGGGATCGAAGTCCTTTGGAAGGACTCGTGTCCCTTGCCTGTCCGGATCGTTCTTCGAATCGGATGGCATAATTGGAGCCAGCACCAACTCCAGCGGTTCCCACGGAGCAGGATTATCCTTGCCCCTTGGCCCAGTCGACGACTCGATAGCCGCATTGAGGCCTGCAAGGGTGGCCATGTTCGGCGATCGGTGATTGAAGGCGATATCTCCCTCCAGAATTCGAAGAATCTGCACGACGTCAATTACCACCCTCGACAGGTCTCTTCTCTTTTCGCCCTCCTCATCATACTCGAGGAAGTAGCATTGCGTCATGTTTATCGCACTGGGTTTCTTCATCTCCTGTTCGACGTCGTCATGAAGGGAGAGCAAGCGAGGGGCCACCCCTTCAGCGTCGTCGTTGGAGTCGTCTAATTTTTGGCAGCTTGATGGCCGCACGAGATTCTTGGGTTGCGACGTTTTGCGAATCCGAGCACTTGATTTGCGCTTCACATCGGGTTCACCAAGCGTCCCTTGAGATGCATCCAAGGCAACCCGAGCTTCGTCCACAACTTTCCTTCGAGCCTGCTTCTTAGGCGCAGCGGGCGTCGGCGACTCTTCCGCTGTGCGTTTTCCCACCCTGTTGGAAGTCAGCCCCGCAGAAACACCCGCATCTCCTCCTTTGTCTTCCAATTCCCCGTCTTCCATTTTCGAACCACCCTGACCGTCATACTCCACCCCACCACTCGCCGGAACTCTATCCCACTCCATTTGCTCCGCCGTTTCATCGCAATGGCTGCCCCACCTCCAACGTTTTCTCATTGCTCGCCACTACCACACTCGCCTTCATCTTCGTCATATTTTATATCGCCCCTCAACCGGGCTTCGCCACCTCCACCAGCTTCCCGCCCCACATTCACATCGTGAGAGTCTTCGCCCCGGATGTGCCCAGGCGTCGCCGAGAACCGAAAATCCAATTTATGAACCCGTTCGTCTTCCTCCGTTTCTTCATCCGACTCCTCGTCCATTTGATGTTGCGGGGTGTCCCGCAAGCGCGAGCTCCCAGAAGCACGAGAACTTTCAGGGTCATCGTCGATGACCCACCCTCTGAGCGCCTTGAGTAAGTAATGAGTTTCTGTTTCCCTGCAACAGGTTGTTGTGG